TTTGCGATTGAAAAAGATTACTGATGATACATGATGTCAACATGAAATTTATTAAGAAGGAATAGACCAAATCGGCAGCTTGGGTCACGTGACTTATAGTGGGTATTAAGGTTTGTTTACATCTATCAAGATCGCGAGACAACAGTGCATTCAATATGGCTTCGCCCTGTTGTTGATATAAGTCACATCATAGATGTTGCAAGTGATTTACCAAATTGTGTTCCAAAAGTGCTGCAAAATTAAATTTTCAAACACTTATCAGTTTCGTTTGGCAAGGCTCTAGTGGATAGTGGGAATAAAGCCTGAAGTTTTTCAAGGAAAGGTACGGTACCTTCATGACATGCATATGGCTCCAATGGAGTCGTCGCCGGTTGAGGTACTTTTTAGGTCAAGGTCAAGTCAAGAATTATTCATGGCAAATGCTATCGCAGCATGAAAAAAAAAGCGAATCTCCATTCGTTGCAAGAGTATTATTTTACAGTAACTTATTTTAAATCCAAAATTAAATCATAGGATGTTTGTAGTTACTGCTGAGGATATAACAAATATTATTATACATACTGGCATTGGGATGTATGTGCCATACCAACCACGCTTATTATCACCAGCCTGTTTCTTAGACCAAGTTTGGTTGAGCAATCAGTACTGTTAAGGGTTATTTTCTACTTTATTACCTACTAGACTATAGAGATTTATACAGTCGAGGCATAACCACTCCCTCCCTGCTCTGGGCCCTGCTCAAGATACGGTACCTCCACGACATGCATAAAGCTCCAGTGGAGTCGTCGCCTGCTGAGGTACTTTTTAGGCCTAGGTCTGAGACAAGAATATTATTTATGGCAAATGCTATCGCTGCATGAAAAAAAAAATGAATCTCCCCATTTGTTGATTATTTTACAGTTATTTCAAATCCAAAATTAAATCATAGGATGTTTGTAGTTACTGCCGAGGATAATGATCATCATATGACATAAATATTATTATTACGTACTGGCATGAGGTTGTACCATACCAACCAGGCCTATTATCACCAGCCTGTTTCCTAGACCAAGTTCGGTTGAGCAATCAGTACCTTTAAGGGTTATTTTCTATGTTATTACCTACTTGACTACAGAGATATATAGAGTCGAGGCATAACAACTCCTTCCCTGCTCTGTGCCACTTCACAGTGCAGCCTAGGCCTATACATGTACATATGTAGCCTACACTATCAGCATTCCAGAGCCTAAATAAAATGCACAGAGATTGCCAAAGTAATTATAAGTCACTATTTCAAAAAAACAAAAAACACATAGGATTACTGCCTTACTTTACTTTGGGTCGCTGGCTGTCTAAAAAACATCATAACTCTCTCAATATACTATGTTCAATGAGCGCACTGTGGTTTACGATGTGGATGATTACATTTAGTACCCACTATATGTCACGTGACCAGTAATAGCTGGAGGCGCCTATTCGGTCTATTGAAGTTGGTAAAAAAAATGTCTTGAAAATGGTAGCCCGTAATGTACAAAAATGGTATAAACACTACAGCATCTACAGTAGGCCTGGACCTAAGCAACTTAATAAAAATTATGTTAGTCTTGTATGTAATGCAAGAAATTGATTGTAAAATACATGTTTATACAATAAGATCCGAAAAGTATATGGTTAATATTATCCGAGAATCTACTTGATCAAATTACGAACGCCTATTGATGGCACACACCATGATTGTCACCAAGGTCATTGCATATCAAACAACCATGTTATTTTTACTTCATCTACAACACAACATATACTATAGCAGTGATAAATACATTTTCATTTCATTATATTCATTTTCATTAATTATAGTAAAGTTTTTTTTAAATATCTTCTCCAATGCAGATGTTTTAAGTAATGAATTGCTTATTATTTTGTGGTCAAGCTTGGTTACTAAAGAATTATGGTAATATACAGTAAATAGCAGGATATTTATCTTTGTTGTCATGCTTTTTTAGGTTATGTGGATGACGCTGTCATTGCGACGGTGTCGGAGGAAATGGACGTCAGCTGGAGAAGCTTTGGTGTCTGTTTGGGACTTCCATGGTCAAAGGTCAATAAGTTTTTTGCTGATGAACAACAGACAGAACAGGCTATCGTCAGTATGTTGACGTATTGGAGGGACAGCCTTGATAGAGATAGACATCAACTGAAAGTACTGTGCATTGCTCTGAGAGAACATGGTAATGTGCGTCTAGCTGGAGAGTTATACCAGGGTGATCTTGATGATGAAACTACGCCCATTGCGATACATATTGGTAAGGCTGTAGTGAGGAAAGTCTTAAAATTGGGGAACCTCTACTGTATGGGGCTAAGATACTAACTATGACACCAATTTACAAAACTAATACATGTAGCCAATACCAACCTGCTCTTTTCCAAAGACTGTAACTGTGTTCTTCAACATATTGCACATGGGACCCACTGCTCATCTGCACATTGCACTATTGTGATTTGCATTCATCCCCAGCTGAAGCACACAAAGAGCAGATTTGGAATTGAATCAGGATTTTGAAGGTCTGAAAGGTTCACCACATTTCAGCGTATATACATTTTGCTACTATCAGTTCAGCCAACGGAGCAAAGTAGCTTTCTCAAAAACTATTGTTGAATGTCTTATTTTTTGTTTCAGGCCACTTGGCAGATGTCGACATGCTGTTCATTGCCAAACATTTGTGCATTGATTGGACAACCCTAGGCATCATTCTTGGTTTTAAGCGATCTGAATTAAAGCAAATTGAGCTATGCTTTCGATTCTCGGTGGTTGAAGCCAGTATTGAAATGCTGGTGAAGTGGCGGGAAAAGCACGAAGCTAATGTAAACCACCTTGCAATGATGGATGATGCTCTAGAACAACTTGAAAGAGAAGATATAAGGCAGGAGCTCCAGACATACTACCAACAAAGATATCAACAGCAAAATATTCATCAAATATAAGTGTTGGGAAAGTTACAGTTATAGGCATTGACTGTTAATAATATGCCTTCAATTAACAGTGTAGATAAAGTTAATTATGGAATTATCAAATCCTGTCTACTACATGTATTATATTTTAAATTGTTCATAAACTTACGTACCACATAATTCTTGTCATATTTTTATTGTTATATTGACAAAATGAATGAAGTTATAGAGTACTACAGTGTTATGTCACAATACCACGCGATACTTCTCCGTTCAACCGATGCCATTTTCTCTATTCACGAACAACTGATCCCAATTTCTAACGTAATAATTAAGAAGTTGTATCTTAATTTTTCTTTGTAAATGTGAATTGATGATTAAATGTGTGTACAATAACTAATGTAATGCAAGCTTTTTGTGTTTTTAGTACATTTTGATGGTAAATTATTAGGTTTTAAAAATCTTCACCACCTTAGGATGTTGAAGAGTTAATTTTGACAATTAAAATTAGATGCTTCTTTCTCTTGCAGAAGTCTGGAGACATTGTAGAGATGAGCTAAGTTTATGAAAATCATTAAAGCCTTTGACACCATATGGAGGATGAATAAAACAAACAATAATGTGAATAGGAAGCAAGAACAAATTTGGATATGTGGGAGTGAAAACATTTGGTTCAAAATGTGGAAACTAATAATCCAATATAAATGGTTTTATTTAACCCTTGGCACCAATTTTTGAGAAATTTTGATTTACAATCTGCTTTTGAAAGCATACAGTACATACTAAAAAAAGAAAGTATATAGTCCTGTCTTATACTAAAGCACTTAACCCTCCAGAAGTCCTTCCATTTATGAGAGACCGTTCTCCCAAGCCTCACCACCCATGAATATTGTTGCTAAGGTCCCAATAGTCCCACATACTCATACACTTGTGTATTTGAGACTCACTTATGCCCAAACCTATTTAATAACAAGTTCCGACTGGTCAGTATAATTTCATTTTGGCCACATCTTAAGAAAAAATATATCCCCAATCAGGAATTCAATAGGAACATCAGCATCAAAAAGTATACATTTCTTCTTTGGAATTTTGAAAACAGTTTTACCAATGAGGAAATATATACTTTTAAAAAGAAAAACAAGTGAAACACAGATACTGAGTCATTTTAACCAGATAAAATACTGTATGTAAAAAGTTAAAATATTATTTATAAGTTGTTTTGACTAATAGCTGGAGATTAGGACCTGGAATGTTCTTCATGTAAATTCTTTTTAGAAAACTATAAGCAGTAATTTGTATGTATATCAATAACAACTTAAACTTAACACATGGAAGAGAAGCTTATGTATGCCCATATATAGTCATGATATGCTTAAATATGGTCATAATGTGATGTCATCAAGATCATATTTAGGCATGTCATATGCTTTTGATTGTCTGGACAGCGAGTTACAAGAAATCTGCAGAGAAAATAACTTTGCAAAAAATTTCCCATCTGTATAAACCTTTCTTATAGAACCTTTCATGATGTTGTCTCAATAAGATAAATATAATTATAATATATACTGTATTATTTTTATTTGACCAATCTGAGTTACGAATAGCTGGCCAGTAGTAAAGCCAGAATGATTGCACACACAACTAAGACCACCACAAAAATTAAGATCATTAATTCGTCAGGCATCGGTTGACGTTGAGATTCTTAAACATCCTTGACATCAGCATTCTCCTGTTGGCTGAGGTGAAGTGGTTTTAAAATGCCTATTCCAGAAAGCCTATTCTAAACCATTAAGATTATGAAGTCATTCAGGCGTAATAAACGGTAAACAACATCATGAAGGCACCACCTGGTGTTGTGACGACACAACTGTGGTACTCTATGTGAAGGAAACAGATACTCATTTGCATATTAAAAATGTAGGAAAGCGACTACTGCTATAGAAGGCAGTAGTCACAAAAAGTTATGTACTGTATGTAAAGTAGATAGGCCCTACTTCTTGTTGCAAAAAATGTATGTATATTCTTCTGTATATAATTACTATTGCATTTCATTAAAATGAATACAGAATCTTAAGTGTAATAAAACCAGTCAGCAAGTATTTTCTGATTAAATATGTTTTTATTGACCAAATTTTATGATTCAACAAAATTAAAGTAGTCTTTTCAATGATTAGGATCATTATCGATAACATTAGCCCATAGCAACCACGAACAAAAAATAGCCCATAGCAACCACGAGCAGAGAGAAAGAAGACTGATTACATTGCATTATAAAATATTACGCACAGATAAAAGGCGTATCATGTCCCACATTAAGTCAAAAAAGCCCAAGCACAAAGGTCATAGTTCAGATTTATAAATAGAACAAGTACAGACCGAGAGAAATTCACACTGAAATACATTTTTTTTAATGGATATATTTATTTTTGGAATTTCTTGAATGATATATTGACTGCAAGTTGGTAAGTATAATTTCATTTTGGCCACATCTTAAAAAAAAAATATATCCCCAATCAGGAATTCAATAGGAACATCAGCATCCAAAAAGTACACATTTCTTCTTTGGAATTTTGAAAACAGTTTTACCAATGAGGAAATATATACTTAAAAAAAAAACAAGTGAAACACAAATACTGAGTCATTTTAACCAGATAAAATATGCAAAAAGTTAAAATATTATCTATAACTTGTTTTGACTAATAGCTGGAGATTAGGACCTGGAACGTTCTTCGTGTAAATTCTCTTTAGAAAACTATAAGCAACAATTTGTATGTATATCAATAACAACTTAAACTTAACACATGGAAGAGAAGCTTATGTATGCCCATATATAGTCATGATATGCTTAAATATGGTCATAATGTGATGTCATTAAGATCATATTTAGGCATGTCATATACTTTTGATTGTCTGGACAGCGAGTTACAAGATGTCATGTGGTTGGGCAAGAAATCTGCTGAGAAAATAACTTTGCAAAAAATTTCCCAATCTGTATAAACCTTTCTTATAGAACCTTTCATGATGATGTCCTAAAAAGATAAATATAATTATAATATATACTGTATAATTTTTAAATTTTTATTTGACCAATCTGAGTTACGAATAGCTGGCCAGCAGTAAAGCCAGAATGATTGCACACACAACTAAGACCACCACGAAAATTAAGATCATCAATTCGTCAGGCATCGGTTGACGTTGAGATTCTTCAACATCCTTGATGTCAGCATTGTATGATCCTGTTGGCTGAGGTGAAGTGGTAAAGGTTGTCCCGGGGCTGAATGGACCAATCAGCTCGGTTGAATCATCAGCTGGCAGTCGGACAGCGCATACACGTACTCGATATTCTGTGTTTGGTGTCAGATTAATTAGTGTAAATTTGGTATCTGGACCTTGGTAAACCTATAAAATAAATTGTTTTTAATTTAAAAAATTGAGTCCATCAATATGTTTGTCATATATTTTGTAATTAAATACAAACATTGCTACACGCAACGCCAAAGTAGTAAAAGACAATTTGCAACCTCTGTTACTAGCACGTCCTAGAGGTCTGTTATTTACCGAAATGCAAGAAGATATCACTGGTACATTATATACTATCTAGGAGAATATCCTTGGTCCAATTTGTTAAAGTTTAGTTCTGTCGTTTGTTTGTTTGTTTGTTTGTTTGAAACGGGTATTAGGAATGTTGATCAGGATTTCAAACTCTCTAATTACCATATTTTTGTTCTACCAACTGAAGTAATGACGCCAATCTAAAACATTCCTTTGAAGTTCCTGTTGAAACAACTTTCTCAAGGTGTTGTATACATGTTGTAAAATGGAGCAGCTTGCGTAGCGCCCTCAATTTTGTTTGGGAAAAATTTAAATAGTAGATCACTCTAAACCAGATCACGATGCATAAATTGAAGTAAGTTAAATTCATAATGTGATATTTAGAGATAATTTAATTGTTATATTATGATTCTTTGATTCAATGATACATGCTTTAGAGTTTGCAATGACCTAATTAGAATTAATCCTTGTTTTAAGTCTTTAATTATCATGTTAAAGTTAAGCACTATATTACATACTGTAGTAATGTTATGCATAAACGTGAACGGACAGGGGGTGAGACACAAGTCCTGCCAGAGTTGACCTTTGACTTTTATAGGCTAAGTATAGGATGATCCTACGAATACATATTCATGTATCAATGTGGGCTTTGTTAATTATCATCTTGTCATATGTTTAACTATATAATAAAACCATTGTGAGATGGGTGAAACAGAACATAAAACTGACTACGTTTCATATATTATTATTTATGTAATGTATGTTTACATTACTTGTTAGAATGCTTTCAACTCCAGAGGGCCTCACATTGAGTGAGAAGGTAAACTTTCCCCTAAAGATTAACTTGTGTCATGTTCTAAAAACGTGCAATTGCCCCATAATTAGTTTTCTAATCATTGAGGCAGTATATACCTTCGTTTAACCCAGGGGGAGTACAGAGTATGCCCCCGGGATCACTGAGTCTAGACAAGAATCTGCGGAATAATATTTAGATAACAACTTCAATATCGTGGTTATTACTTACCTTAGTATAATCGTTCTCTAGATGGTAATAGATTTTGTCTTCTTGTAATGGCGATATTTCTTGCCATTGTACTTCACAACTTACTGGAGTTATATTAATTACCTTTGGAGCTTTAAAAAAAAAGAAAAAAAATAAGCTGGAATAAGCAATACAAAAATACTATGTAATATGAAAGAGATATTAATCAGGAAACTTGACCTATTATTGAAGATGATGACGCATAACAACAGTAGTTATTCAATTATTCATTCATTCACTCACTCATTCATCCATTTGTTCATTCACTTATTCAGTCATTTGTTTTTTTGTTTTGTTTTTTAATCATATTTATAGAGGGTGACCTTTCCAGTGTTGTTCCTAGAAGGTTGGCCGATATTCAAGGCCTTCATATATAAATGAAATAATGGGGAGTGGAGTTGTTTTCAGTAAGGAGAAAAATTCCTGCAGTCAGAGGAATAGAACCCAGGACCCTGGGATTAGAAGGCAAGCATCTTAAACAATGAGCTATTCAATTCCCCTCCGGGGTTCATATACTCATTTCATCCATCGATCCATCAATCAACTAGTTCTTCAAATTGATTGATTGATTTATTTATTTATTGAACATTTAATAAATAGGCCTATATAAATTTACTTTTATTCACCAAAAATTAAAGAATAAAATTCATTAATTCATCATCAACTAAGGTGATCCATAATTTATAAACAAATATGAAACTCAGCAATTATATGAAGTCTGAGCCTACGTGGCCAATACAGTGTACTGTTTTAACATTTTTTTTGTACTAGTGTATTAGAATCTCATGGAACTAATTATTCTCACACTGGCGAGTAAGAAAAAATCTCATGGAATAAAACCTTTCTCTTGTTAATTAATTATGTTTGCAAGTTCTCAATTGTTTCGCCAGAAGTGTACTTGTCATTGGTATCACTACAGGCGGCAAAATACAATTAGATGAGTTAGGAAAGCTCATTAAACCTGGTCTACCCATAAGTGGCTTCCCCCAACTTGGGACCTCTGGGATTTAAAACCATATTCTCATACTTACATTTCATTGTCCCTGGAGGCGCTTTGCCAGTTGCAAATTTATACACCTCTGAGTAAGGACCATCGCCTGAGTCATTACTAGAATATATTCGAAAGCGATACTCGGTCTGTTCTGTTAATTTCGAAACTTTATAATTCATATTAGGACCACTGTAAACAGGGCCAAACCTGAGTGAAAAAAAATAAGCAAAAATACAAATAAGTTCATGCAAATATTATGAAATATTTGTAATTTAATATTTAAATATAATTATAAAAAAAGAAATATATAGTTTTTTTTTACCTTCCTCTCTTATCTTCCATTTCTAATGAATATTGATTATTTTCTAGGCTGGGCCTGGAATTGTCACCCCATTTGAGCTTCAAGCTCTGATGACCATACAGCACACACTCAAGCTTGGGAGGATCAGGAGGTAGCGGAAGAGTCTGGGCCTTCAACAATGTACTAAAGGGACCTTCTCCTATATCATTCACCGCTCTTATACGTATCCTGCAAAAGAATATGTAAAAATGTATTTAATCATTGATGTTAAATGTTATTTATTTGGTATTTATACAGCGCCTTTCCTTTAGGTTACAAAATGCTATGTTTTCCCTGGCCATTGGGTCAACATGCCTAAATGCTGCTGCCATATTGGGGCAGTAGCAGGCAAAACCCCACCAGGTACCCATTTATATACTCCTGAGTGGAAGGAAGCAATGCAGATTAAGTGCCTTGCTCAAGGACACAAGCGAAGTATAAAAAAGGGATAAAAACCCTGACATTGAGGATGGATACCAAACTGTTCCCGCCGCATCAAAACCTTTTCCGTAGTGAAGGATATGCAACTATGGTCTACTGGTTTAAGTGCACACTGTTAACATCTTGAAAAATACATTGAAGGTAGAAAAAAATCTTATATACTGTCTAAACCTATAAATCAATGTCAAATTATGGATATGCACTGATGTTAGAAAAGAATATTATTTGTAATTAGAATTACAGTAGCTGGTCAAGTTTTGCCTGTTTCTGCACCAATATGGCAGCAACATTTAAACACAAAATTGGGTTATATTTATACAAAAAAAAATATAAAAATAGTGAGCTTGCAGGCCTAGGTAGGCTATAAACATTGAGCTTTGGGGCATACGACCCACTTGAAAAACAAGAAAGGCTTAAATAGAGCGAAGTCTTCCAAATAAAAAATGCTGAAATTAGGGCTGGTTACCAGTGTTGAGCATCTAGAATTACAATTGTATTCAAGAATCATAATGTGAGCTTGTATTTCTACTCAACCAATGATGAGCCATGCCACACATACCTGTACTTAGTATCTGGTTCAAGATCTTCAATACAGTATTCATTTACATTTCCCAGGTGTAGTGCTGGCCCATCACCGATATAAATATTATAAGCTATAATCTCACAACCGTAATTTTTAGGTTCGGTCCACGAGACAGTTAAAAAGTCACATGAGTAGTCCACAAGCTGAAGATTTGACACTGGAGCAGGCACAGAGGGTGGGGTGGTGATTGATGCAACAGCACTGAAGGGCCCTGAACCAGCCTGATTGATTGCTTGCACACGGAACTGGTATTCAGACGCTGGTAGAAGATTACGGACTTCACAACTACATTGGTCACCACAATAAACCTGGAAAAATATAATTGTTTAAGATATAAGATTTCAAGGCCAAATAAAAAAACATAAAATTGCTGTTCCTTACTTCATCTCAGCCTCTTACGATTAATGCCACAAGCCAATAAACAAAATTGCAATAAGCAGTGAATGCATACCTAAGTGTGGACCAAGTCCTGTATACAAATATATGATGTGGCTACCTTCCATAGACACGTCATTCTGTATATATTGAAAGGGGGGGGGGGAAGGTGGGGATAACAATAAGTCAGAAGGGATTGAATTTTTTATTTTACTCTGAGGGATGTACCCAAGGTGGCATTTCCAGAAAAACCTTCATTCACTGCTTTTATGACCAGTTTTTAATATTACTTTATACAGATTATCGTTGTCATGCTGTAAAAACAAGAGGTTCTAGCCAAAGATGAAGGTGCGCTGCAGCATAGGGTTGCCATGGGCCACAACATAATTAGCGTCAGGCCTCACTTTGCCACCAGTGCTGTATATAAATAAAAAGGACGTCGTCTCTTTGGTAGCTATTTTTGTCATGGGAAAAATGAGCCTCATCCCCTCATTATACTTTTATATTTCGCCTTAAAGTGACCCTTTCCTTGATTCTTGTTTTTGCTTCAATAGTTAATGTTAAATTCCCTTGTAAATTCACATGCAAAATGTTGCAGCTGCTAACCTCTTGTATGGAACTTGGAAGGGATTGTCTTTCTGTAATCCCCACAGAGAGGTTGACAGTTGGGCTGCCAAAACATGGTGGTTGTTTTATTGGGCCGGAAATACAGTGATTAAAGTACTCTTGGCTTATGTCTACACGTCTGCAACTTTATCTAGGCCTATCATCATACACTTGTGACTGTGAAACTCACCATGGAAAATACATTTTGTTCACAAGCTTTTTCTAACCGATATTCTGTAATCTCTGCTCCATTGCAATATGGCTTTTCCCACGATGCCCACACCGTTGTTGATAGTAACCTTGTCTCTATACGTAGCTCTGTGGGAGGTTCAGGGGGCCCACAACCGGTCCGAACTTCTAACGGATCGGAGAAGTGACCATTCTGGAAAAGATAAAAGCAGGCTATTAAATCGAGTTTTGACCTCCTTTATTTATTGTTTATCAATGAATTCTCACTAGCTTCACTACAATAATTCTTATTATCATTTGCATTTGCAGAATTTTGTTACCTTCTACTTAGCGAATTAAACTGAAAGAGCACTAAATTTGATACCATAAAGTAGAACCAATGGGCTTAAATTCGAGAAGAAGCCCATCTCAAATTGAAGCCCCCTCTTTAGTTTTCAAAATTAGCATAGCCTTCTTTTCGAGATACAGTAGTACAGTACATACACTATACATGAATTTCGAAGAAGCAAAATAAATTTAAAACATGCTTGGTTTATGCAATAGTTTAGGTGAATTAATGCCAGTTAATACACTCCATGATAGATTGATGTTACCAGGAAGATGTAAAAATAATCATTATTTTATTTATTTATAACAATATAATAATAATTTTTTACATCTCCCTGATGTTACAGTGGCCCTATTTATTGTTTTTCATTTTGAAAAGAAGCCCTTCTTTACTTTGCAAAAGCAGGCTCGAAAAGAAGCCCATCCAAAATTCACAAAAAATGAAGCCCAGGGCTTTATTTTGAGGTTTTACTGTATATATGCTAGGTATAGAGGAGGCCAAATTTACTGTGAAGGAAAGGGTATGGTGCATGAAATGCTACACCAGTATTAAAATTTGCCATAATATACTTATAACCTATTAAAAAATTAACACTGCTAATATTTAAAGCACCCTGGCTTTCAGTCGCAAGTGAGATACTAAAACAGCTGTAATACTATTTTAGTCATTTTTAACATGGCCTTGACACAAACATGATATTTATTGTATTAAAACAGGTGAAGTTCCTTTTAAAATTGATATTACACATTACTTACTGTATGTAGATATGCTTAAGTTATATTAGCTATATTTATAATTCTGAACTATTACAGCTAATAGTAATATAGCTAAATTAATTTGTATGGTAAGTCATTTGTTATTTTTACATATTTTTCCCATGATGCAAATCAAGTATGTGTTTGAATGAAACTAATTCATTGATGAAGTGAGTTTGTGTTTAATTTCCTCATGATGGCCATATTGGTTAAACATTTCATTCTTTATTACAACATCAACCAGAATTCCTGATGAATTTTTAATTAAAATGAATAACCAATATTGCTTCTCTCAGCATATTTTTATATGGTTAGTGAACCACATGGCAAGTTTAGAATTCTGAGTGTGATAATGACTGCTAGAGACATGCTAACGTTGCACAATTTTGTAAACCAGATACGTGATATATTGAAACATGAAGAAAAAGAAACAGGCACTCCAGAGTTATTTCAACTTATTATTGGACACATAAATTCAGCAAATAATAATAATAATAATTTGCGATTTGTATAGCGTCTCCTGTTGAGCCAACCTCAAGGGACTACACAACAACAAAAGGAAATGGACAAGAATGACACCATGAACCTATACTCCCAAAACCAACATCGCTCAATTTATCGGCAATTTTATTCTACATTGAAACATTTTCATGGCATCAAAACTCTTCTATATTCCTGTAAAGTTCCTCAGCCACGATCAGAAGAAACAAAGAGAAACAAGTATTTCTCAGTACAAGCAACAAAATTTCATGTTGCTTTGTTGCGACAAGCACAATAAAAATTATCTTATCTTATCCGCCAGCCACTGAATCACCATGACTGATTGATACTTACTCCGACTTTGTTGAAGGCACGTAACTTGAAGGTGTAGCATCGTCCTGGTAGCAGACCGTTGACTGTGCAATCCAGGCACGTGGCTGGTCCCACGTGTACTTCTTTGGCAATATCGTTATCAGCTGATGTCATCTCTATTGAGTATTCCGTGATGGCACTACCGCCATCATATGCTGGTGGTCCTACAAAAAAAAAAAAAAATAATGGACATATTAACATTTACTTTCACACAACAAAAATCAAGAAAAAAACATTTATAAGATTAAATACAAAGAGCATTACAATTATCAGTAATTGAGATAAAAAATTTACAGATGGTTTACAATCAATAAATTTGTCAGCAGGAATGTTATTCTATTTGATAAAATACAAGAATGGCATTACTAAACTTTTTTCTCATTCTAATTTGTATTTGAATGCAAATCAAAATAATTAAATTGTTTTTTAATATTTAAATTACATTATCACTTAAACGTTGTTACATTGTTATTCCAAATCTGCATATTAATTTCTATATGTCTACAACAGTTTTATAGAGCAGAAATTATTTGAGCAATTTGATAATTGTGGGTTGATGAAAAACTGTTAAGACAAGAAATAGGTAAGAATAGGTAACTTACCCCATCGAAGATTCAAAAGGTTGGCTTTGGGTCGCCCGTGAACTCGCGGTTGAAAGCATTTTCCAGGACAGATAGCAGGTGTGGTGAAAGTAGATACATCAGAGGGCTGAAATGAGAATAACAATATTTTGTAAAGGCAATGAATGTTACATTTCTTAGTTAATGAACAGATTTTTGATATGACTTTGGAAGTCATCAGGGCGCCTGTGTTACCAGACACATGGCAGTGATGGATTGTTCGGTTCTTTCGCAAGGGCTTCAATCTCTGTTCCCTCATGTAACAACATGTTGGATAATAAAATTACTCTGACATGTCAAAAGTACTCAATTTTTTTCAGTTCCAAAATAAACATATAAATTTAATAATTTATTTTAGGATAAAATATTTGAAAATATACAGGATAGATATATGTCAACGTGTACAATATGGTCAAAAGCTGTGCAAGTCAAGATATGGCAGAAAATTAATTATTATTTAAAATAGTATATAAAGACATAATACTCATTGAATAGTACATAAATAATAATTATTCAATATGAGAATTAAATTATATCACTTACCGGACTAATGCCAGCAATACTTTGGCAAGAGACGCGTAACTGGTACGTTCCTCCAGGTCGTAGATGATTTAAAGTCTTCTCCCTATCTGGTCCACTATAGTATGAAACCCAGTTCTCATCTATAATAATAAGTGAAATTGGAGGGAAAACATGGAAGATTTGGTATTAATCCATGTAAACTGCTCCAAAGTTCAAAGCTGCTAATATTATTATATATTGTGGCATGATTTAAATGATGGAATAGAGTGGTACCGGTAATACAAATTATTTTGCAATAAAATATTGACGTGTGTTTTATAAGAATATCTAGTTATATTATATATATATATATATATATAGATCCCCTCTCCCCATGGCTGTACATTTTTTTTAATTAATTAATTTTTTCCCAAGATGATAATTTTGATGAAAATAATAGTTTTACCATTGTAAACAAATTGTCTGCTATACTGTTAACTAATTAACCCTTTCCCAGCGTGTCAATCAAATTTAAAATCGACCAATCGGAGTACAAACGGCGCACATGTTCACATATGTTTACGCTGTCGTTTTGTGGGACCTTAGCAACAATATCCAAGGGGCGGGGCTTAGTGGAATGCTCCATTAATCTTTGTCACCAAGTTAATCATGTAAACAGATAATTATTATAAGATGTTATCATTCAAACCATATGCCAGAGTGAATACCATATGTTGGGAGAATGTACTTTATTTACATGAAAACATTTTTATCAAGGTAATTAGTGTCAATGTTAACATCTGGGAAAAATATTATTAGTACCATTGCCTTGGTTCACTAACAGTACATTTTACCTTTTAGATATTTTTTATTGTACATCATTGTAATTCCCTCAATTCAATTTCATTGTTTACTTTCTAAATATTATATCAAGCTTATAAATTCTATTCCTCAACCAGTTCTATGTAATATAAACAAACTTGTATACCTTGGCACTCTGAGATTTCTAAATAGTACTTGGTTACGGTAGCACCGCCATTGTCCCTTGGAGGGTCTAAATGACAATGAGAAAATAGAATATAATAATATATATAATAAAAAACTTTTACAGAGATTTTACACAATTCTTACTCACTATAACGCATTTAAACCGATTCTACCCCGATACTCTCCAATTCCACACCCCTTCAAAGATCAGACAAAAGTTTTTTGCTCTTTAGGCAACCTTTGACCTTTAGTCCATTCTCTCATCTCACCAACATTACTCTTATTCACCGGATATTTTTTTCCTCCCCCTTCAGGGATGAACGACTTGTTCACTGCATTCAGTTCAACCGCCTCCTCGTACTTGACCTAGCTACTTGTAATCTCAAACCCAATCAAACATGCATTATCCACGAGTTGAGGGTTATGTTTTTTTTTTGTACATAGGTCATTTCTATTATCAACATTATATGGTTATATTTCTGTGTCATTTAAATGTCATTAAGTAGACAATATTCATTGACAGTTTTTTTTACATCATTAATGAAGTTCGTTTTAGATTATGTACATGAGGGTAACTGTACTCTTTGTGGTTTAGATGCTTGCTAAAATCCTGTCAAAACCAGGTTTTTTTATTATGAATAAAACAGCTCTACTTCCTAATCAATCAGTCCGTCAATTAATCAATCAGTATATAGTAGTTTATCCTTGGTGGTTTAGATGCTTGCCAAAATCCTGTCTTCATAATCGATCAATCAATCAATCAATAAATAAATCATCTAGAATTTGTATGGAGGCAAAATCTATTGTAAGCAATGTTCGGTACATAGTGCTCATAATTAAACTAGGTGTATACAGCATCAATTCCAAAGCTGCAATTTACTCACTGCTGCATGAATATGATACCGAAAGAAGTCATACTAAATTATTAAACTGAATACAATGGTTATAAATTATTCATCCCATTTATTTTTTACATCCAATTTCAAATGAGTGATCCATGAGTAAGGAATATCTACTAAACCTTGAGATCCTCAATACGCTTAAGAAATTTTTTTTGTAGGGGAGAAATAGAGTTGGTTTTTGGCATTTTTGTCAGAATTGAACTTAAGACTAGGATTAAAGGACCTCACCTACTATGCCACATCACTCCTCCAAGTGATTGTTTAATATCAATATTGAATATTTCAAAATTTTGGAATATGATACTGGAATCTACCCTTTTCAGGCCTCCATGGCACATGTCCAAGGCACAGTATAAGTGTCTTCAGAGCCCAATTGTTCTTTGAAATTCAACACAAGGTGTAAGAGATGAGAGCTGTTGTTTGATTGGTCAGACAAGGACTGGCCTAACGCCAGATAATGCCAAATCACCCCATGATAGGAAGTCAAGTCTGGCTACGTGTCCATTATTTCTAACCAATGTTTATATAATGTTCATTCCTCTTCTTGAAGATGGCACAGGTTACTTTAAGATGTTTATTTTGGCCTCGGTAAGCAAGGCGCAATTTATAATAGTAAGGACAATGTGACTCATTTATGATATAAAAAGCACATTACAAAATATTGTATTAGCTCACAATATACTTGTAATATTTATTTTTGATTACATGTAATTTTTGAATATATGATAAGACAATGAAGCTGACATGTTTCAAAAACCTAACACCCTGTCCAGACTATCAAATTGTATTTGATGAAAAAAGCTACATGCTTAAATATGGTCATGACATCACATCATGACCATATATAGGCACATCATGACTATATATGGGCACATCATGACTATATATAGGCACATCATGACTATATATGGGCATACACCAGTTTTTTTTTGTCAAAGAAAATGTGATAGTGTGGAAAGAACAGGTTACAGCTCAAAGAGCTTGTCACACCTTCACACCTGCCATTAGGTATGAAGTCACTTGATCCACCCACGTTCCTATTTACAAAGGAATATTACTTCAGTGGTTAGTGAATGCAGAATGGTGAACATATGCCTGGGACATCATAAGAGAGTGGAAGCGGATAAAACCATTTAAATATTTGATTGTTTGTTTACCGGCATGGCATGTTTTGTGGTTTAAGTTGAAGTATATGTTCTAACAGTAATTTTGTGTGGTAATGTTTTGATTGCTCAAACACTTTTGATACTTGTGCATATAAGCTTGCAAATACGGATAAGTTTTCATTCCTGATGATGACATAATTAATGTCGAAATATTGAATCCCGACACGATGGCGTGCATTTCGATACTTGGAGTATGTATTATACTATCTTATCTGAGATTAATCAGTGAACCTTTCAGTTTTTGTACATACTTCTTTAGGTGAATAATGTTTGAATGGCAAGCAGAAATTAATGACCAATGTTTCCTCACTGAATCAAGGTAAATAACATGGTGGTAGCCAGGATATTTAAATTTTCAACAGAAATAGATGGATGAATGAATGTTGACTCAACAAGAATTATGACACACTATCGTAAGTCTAACTTACTCCACGATACTGAAAAGTAATTAGTATCGTGTTTGCTTTTGAGTACATTAGCCTCACATTTGTGCATCGATTTAGGTGGCAAATAAATGCTGGGCCCAACAAAAATTATGACACAACTGTATGAGACTGTAACTTACCCCATGACACTTTGAAGTAATCTGAATGCAGTTTGCCCTTAAGTGTCGGCTTAGGTGGTGCTTGTGGGCTATCTGGTTTTGTCCTAAATGCAACAATTTCACTTGGGCAACTATCTCCCTGATCATTATTAGCTAATAACTGAAAATTAAAAAAAAAATACCGAATTTAATTAGTTTAATAATTAATCATAAGCTTTTGGTATACCATGTTGTAGCATGCTACTTTGCTAAACTCAATGGTGGTATTTGGTTCTGAAAATACCTTCAAGACTTGTTTTAATCAGTTTGTTAAACTAGAGTATTGCACTTAATCTATTTGCCAGAATAAATTCCCTTGCCAAGGTTTACAAATGACTGGGTTCAATACCTGAACTTCCAAGGCTCATAAAGGGAAATAATTAATGAAGTATGAAATATAAATATGTATGCACCAAGGCAAGATCACTCCACTCCTTCAAGACAAGAATTAATTTCTGATTTCAAATATATTTGTTTAGTCACTAACATCAGGCCAGTAGCCAAGTTCTTCCAAGGGAGTTCTCTAGACGTGGGATCCAGAGGCTAAGCCCCCATGGGGTCAGCGAAACCCCTAAAGCCAGAGGATGTTTGTGATTGATGGGTCTAATAATGCTATAAAAGCAGTTATGTTTGAAAAAGGTCTGCAGTAAAATATTCCATCTTGAGTCTGGGTGGGTCTGCAGTGCATTAGTTGGGTTTGAGGACTCGTCCGGGAGGGGGTTTGCCAGACCATAAACCCCCCCCCCAATCCCGCCTGCTGGCCTGAAATTCTGTACCACCATTCCTTACATGGGTACCTTACATCAAAAAATGTTTAACTGAAAATTTACAATAATAAGGTACAACTTGCTTAACAGCTAAACTCCACTACTTTTACTTATAATGTTGACCTGACTTAATAGTTGTAATGAACTCTGACTGACCTTCCAGCAAATCTACCCAAAATGTTCCTAAGTAATTGATTAAATTCATCAATATTTCAGTGATCGTTAGAAATCAATATTTTTTATAAGGACTTTAGGTTAATAGCCGGGGTAAGAGACCAGTCAGTACTGTGCAAACATCATCCAAACGACGCAATCCTACAATCTATCACACTCAAAAAAATAATCGCTTATCAATCATTTCTGTGTACCTTGAATATTCACTGTCGTGCTAGTAGCATTACTAATAAAATGGCTGATTTGCACAACCTCTTGGCACTACCAATATAAAGCAGTAGACTAAAGATTTGAAGTGGCAGGCAACCGATTCAAAGCGGTATGTTTACAGATTTCTGAGAGGTACGCTATCGAATTAAAACCGCAACCATTTTACAGCTACAGCCTACTGAATTAAGCTGGTATCATAATTATCTAAAGCAATACATTTCCGAGTTAAAGCTACTGAATTAAAAATGATACCATTAGATTTAGGGAATATGCTATCAATTGAAGATGTACTCTATGATGTTTAAACCTATCGTACCTCATCATTTTTTTTACTATGTATTCCCCACTACTTTTCTAATCATCTTACTTTGTGACTTTAAAAACTAATTATTTGTATTTTAAGCTCTGTCAAACTTTAAGTGACAAATTTGTGTGATGTGCCCATATATGGGCATGATGGTGTCATTATTACACCCAAATATGGACATACAACAGTTATTTGTCACATAAAATTTGATGTGGACAGAGCTTTATAAGGAATTTTGACAATAAAATTTTCTAAGCGTTACAAAATCGTACTAATAGGTAGTTTTCGCTGCACGACGTTAACTTTAATGTTAGTACCCAACATGCAATGCGATAGCTCCGCCCCTTTTGTAAATAAATCGAAATACGCATGCGCAAACCCGTAACTAACGTACATCAAGCACGTAAAATCCTGAAATTTACGTACTCCGCAACGAAAGATGAATAAATTATGATGTCATCCGTTAACATTAAGGTTAACAATGTGCGGCGAAAACTACCTAACACTCATTGGCCTTCCATCTTATCTATACAAAACAAGATTATTTGAACAAATTTGATGGCTTAAGCTATGATTTTAACCAATATTTACAGAGTACAGAACTTTTTTTGTCAAAAGATTATTAGACCAAATTTTCACTTAAAGCACAGAATATTGTGGTGAGGGCATTAGGTTGATGACTCATTGGAATACAAAGTAGAAGTCATTGAACGTAGTTGAAAAATGCTAATTTACGTACATTTTTAACGAAGGAATTATAAGATGGAGATAAATCAAAACTGAGACACAAGACATTATTATATATGTAACTGTAGTTTTGCTTATTTATTACCCCAAAAAAGTAGTCTTGTTAATTCATTAAGGTACAGTAGTTGTTAAACTATTAACTAAATTAATTTATTGTCAAATTATAATAAAAATGTAACCGGTTATTGTTTTTTCTTCTTTTGAGAGTTCCATAATAATTGTTAATGAATAGTAAAACAATAATTTATAAAATTAATACATTAAATTTGATACTAACCTTAAATCTATATTCAGTATTTCGTTGAAGGTTTTTACAAGTATGTGAATTTTCATCACCATTGAAGACTACTTTGAATCCATGTTTCTAAAGAAGGAAATATGTTAATCAAAATTGATAAAAACAATTAACAAAGTTGAATAGACAACTTACTAAAAGAATTAAACTGATGTATACCGGTAGGGATGATGACTGATGAAGATTTCAATTGATAAAATGGAATATAAATTATAGTGACAGTCGAATAGTTTCATCTGGTTTTGTATCGATATACCTAATATCAACTTATTGGTTTATTTGTTTAAAAATACATTAAGTAAATTATAGTGATGTTATTAATATGAGGAAACGAAGTTGATGAAGGGTCAGTGGTCTGGAAGAAGTCACTTCCAGAAGATTAGTCAAAATGAATTTTATTAACACATCTAACTTTAAACTGTTGTCCATGGTGACATTCACTGGCACTGATATCTAGGAGCGAGATAATTGATAAATAGTAAATAAAATGAATTTGCGGGAAATGGGTTAGTTAGGAGGTTTTTTTCTTTCTGTGTGAATTCGTCTTGATTTCCGGGATATTTCTGCTACGTTAACAAGATGGTGGCGATGATTTGAGTTCATAATGTAATGATTATGATAATGATGAGATGATGATTGGTATGGATGTTAATAATGATCATTAGTTTTTTATTCACATGGCCATTCTATAGCAAAACAACGTAACTTGAAATTTGCACTTTTGGAGAAAAATAGAGTTAAAATTTGCATGTTTGGAACTTTACAATAAATTGTTGTACCCTTTTGAAATTTTGCAGGATTGTATATCTATAGACATTGTGATTATATGTAAAATTTTAATTACAACTGTTTGTTTATTGGGAAGTTATTGGCGATAATTACAGATACATTGTTTTGCCTCGGAAACATGTCAGACTCGGTATTGTTGCAAGTAACACATATTTTTGGAATTTATAATGTTTGGGGCAATCATATGTATTACCTAGCTTGTTCATACGTCGCTGTTAAGATTATTAATATAAAAACACCAATAACCATTTGATTTTGCCTTATCAAACTCCATCAGTTTAAGACAATTTTTATTACCATTCCGAGGCAAAACAACATATCCTCATCGTAGATACGTTGTTTTGCCGCGTAATCTTGTAGTTGCGTTGTTGAAAACAACTAGATTTTAAGTTTTGTGCTTAAAGATAGGTGGTGCTATCTCCAAAACGACTCATTATTGAGACCTGAAATTTTCACAGGTAATTCAGACGTGTTATACTCCCAAATGATCTCAAAATCGACAAAAATGTCAGTTAAGTTATTTTGCCCTGGGATGGCCGTACAATAATTAATTATTATTAAAATTAATAACTTTTAATTCAGAGCACCTACATTTGTTTGGTCATCCATTTGTAAAATATATCGAGTGACATCACTCTCCACTGGTGGCCAGGTCAGTTCCAACTGAGTGACACCAGCCTCTTTGAGTGAGGGCGCTTCAGGAGTTGCAGGAACCGTACCGGACGTGTAGCAATGCATTGGTGTACTGTAAGTACTGCAATTTAAAAGATTATTTATATTATAAAACAATACTATGAGATCAAAAAATACTTTCATTTTAGATTCAAATTACTATTTAACAGAAAAACAAATTTTCTATATAGAACACAATATTATCAAATTATCATTTTATTCTTTTAAATATAGATATATAATAATTCTGTTTTTTTTTTATTGTCATATATTATTACATTATTACAATAATTTTTAATATAATTATAGTAACTATTATCTTTTTTTTTATAATACAAGCATTTGTTCTTACCTTTCTCCAAATTCATTTACAGCTTTAAGTTGGAAGGAATATTTTGTTGCAGGCTGAAGCTTTGTATAACGGAACTGTTTTTGAGATCCTTTAAATATTTCATTAAAACCACCGCCACTAATTCCCTATGAACAAAACAAAAATCATGTTACTTACATATGCATGTCTATATTAAAGATATTTTGGCATAAAGGTAAAGGTAGGCTTTAGCACTCACAGTCCAGATTGCCCATCTCTCTTTCTTTGGCATTTGACCAAACTGTACAATAGTGTGGGGGAGGGGATGAGGGGATTCATCATTCCTCATGCAATAGTCTATAATGTACTATATCAATTTATTGCATTACACTTACATTTTATATTCTTTGCACGTTACAAGTTAGTGGACATAATAAAACATAATTACACATTCCTAGTGCATAGTTCCTTAAGCATGTTTACATGAACTTGAATAAACCTAAAGGCTCTCCTTACCTTATTTAACGTGTATATATAGCACTAAAATGCTAGAAAGAAGAATTTAACAGCTACGGTACACTTCAGATGTGGAATAAACATACTTTACATATGCAAGAACATGTACATGGACATTTGATAAGTGTTCTAATTTCCATTGTGTGAATCCATAATGAAAACACAGATGACCCATGCTTCCCATATTAAATATTAATTTATTCTTCCCAAATCATGTAAATATAAAGAACATTTGTTCAATGTTAAGACAATGAAGAAGTAATGATAAGAACTCGTTACCACAAATTAGATAAGGTCCTATCTGGAGTGAAGAGTGACTGAGCAGTCAGTGACTCCGCACATGCTAAGTATTACACGAAGTAATACAGTACTGATTATAGCATAGTATAAATTATTAATATAATAATAAATAATAATTGTGATGATGTACAGTGACAAGTAGTAATCAAGATAATAATATATAAAGTAATTATCATCATTATCATTAGTTGGAGCATGCTTGGGATGTAAGAGGCACTGGCAAGTCATCCATCACTGCTAATTGCGTGGTATCACCATAAATATTCTCAATATCATAAATATTATAATGTAATTAAAATTTAAGTATCATTTCTGGATTTGGATTAATAGTGAAGAAAGGACTATAAATTTTGCAGAAATGAAAGAATGAATGAATTGAAGGTAGATACACACATACATAATAAATACGTACAATATATAAAAAAAAAAAACCAATAAAATAAATTAATATAACCATTTGAGGTATATTTATTCAAAATTCAAAATTCAACATAAAAAACATTCATAGCAGCAATAAGGTTGAATTGCATATGGATGTATATAGGTAAACTATTAAAATGGCAGAAAAAAGACAGCACAAAAAAAATATAGTAAATTCCATACAAAGATGATATACAAAAACAGAAAAATCACGAAAAAGCAAAACCAACATCAAAATGCAAGGAAGACAATACAATACAAAATCACTTGACACTGGACAACATTTTGATGTTGAAGCATAGAGAAAAATAGGCTCCCAGCGGAAGCGTGTGTCTACTGCCTTATACAGGAGTTTTTGTTTTTTTAATTTTATCTTATGTTCTTCAATATGCAGATGTGTGTATTATTGTAATGTATCTGGACTTTTCATGAAAATTTTCTTTCATAACACTATTCTGTATAGGCCTACTACTATATTACACTAAAAACACTTTAAAAATGAGTAACTCTTGGAGTTACCACGTTATGTCGTTGATCACGAAGAGTACTACCATGTTCTAGAGGGCATCCTTCAAATGACGGTAAAAGGCGTCCTTGTCGAACGCGTGCTGCGTAGAGAATAGAGAACCCCCTACCTCGTGGTAGTAGTACCCACCATGCCAAAACCGGATTTACCCTTTTCCACCATTTTTAATTGCTACATCATGACATAGCGTCTATGCCATCGTTGGGGGCAGTAGACACAAAAACCAGACAATAAAAGGAGGGGCAAAAGCACAAAGACACCGGAAAGGGACAATGTTGAGTTTAATTTTGATTTATAATACATCAGCAAAAAATGGGATCGGACTTGTTTGGAATCGTTTGGTTTTGCTTCTGTAACATTTAACCTTGGGAGGGGGGGGTTCTTAGGGTCATACAGGATCTGTACTGAGGGGCAGGGAACCAGGCGGAGAATCTACCCGAAGTGTGTGAGTTTTAAAGCTAACACCTTGCACAACTGCCATCTTCTAGTATGAAGAGGCTCAAGATCTAGTGTTACAAGTCCACCTGTCCCTGAGTAAGACCTACATGCCACAAAGGGGCTGCATACTCTAACACAGGAGTGGAGTGATTGGATCAAGCGTGTTTCTCAAAAATAATTTTTTTACAAAGTAAATGATAAATTAATAAAAATTAGTAAGTTAGTAAACCAAAAGGAAAAATTTATAATCTTACCATATCTGTTTCTAAAATATAACTGATGATCTTTGACCCATTATCATTTGGTGCATTCCATTTGATAACTAGGAAGTTTTTGTTCTTCTGTGCACATTTTGGCATAGATGGCTCATCCGGCTCACACCCACTCGTCGTAAAACTCGAAGGTTTTGATGGCAACCCACGTATGTTCTCAAATATTGCACTCACACTGAAGAGAAATCAAAACAGATTTTTGATTATATTAATAATTTCATTATTATCGATGTATAATAATGCGTTATAAACCTACCCTTGAATCAACGCAATTTATAACATGAACTAAAATATAACAATTTACGTAACTTTAAATAAAAATCAGCAATAATAATGAAAACATATTATTGGTCATCATCATTTCAGCTATTGTCAGCCCACCGCAGGGCGAAGGACTACCCAAGCTGGAACTACCTAATTCTGTCCTGCGCAACTCCCATTCACAACAACATTGGTCATCAATACAAAAAATACCAACTAAGGGCGTCTGAGGTAAATAGGAAATGAGAGGGTTGATGTGTTCTACGACATGCATACAAAATATTGAAATAAAATTGGAGACCTTTACAAGATCAAGAGAAGTTACATATATGTTTATGTGAAACATTTCAAACACTGTCATTTGAATCCAGATTACAATATGAATAACCAACAGTTAAAAATATGGTATTTACAGTTCACATGGAATACATTAGGTATGTTAGTATTTCAATTCTGCTCCCATCAATTTCAATATCAGTGGGCGCAGATACATATATATCTCAGAATATTAACTGATTAACCATCACACCGTTGCCAACGTTTCTACTAAACTACAAGGTAATGAGCCTGCGACGGCCACGCTTCAGCGATTAGCATGACACTTGTACATATGGAAATACTGTTTATTTGATGATACAGTGCTTGTTTCTCCGTACGGAATACTTGGATTCTTCCATATGGAGGAGATCAACGCAGGTTCTGACGTCCACAAACACATGTTATGTTTTAGTGAATTTAATATCATCAACTGTATAACATATTTGTATGGTTATATCAGATGTGATGAGGATGAATCCTGTTTCTTCTTAATTTATCTTTAAAAATATAAGATTTTATCTTTTGATTGATAGATTTAACATGACAGAAATGAATTCTATTTAATAATTTAAAAACTATACTCACACACTCTATGTAAGATATTAAAATAGCAAAAAAAAAATAAATAAGGATTTCATGAGATCTTCAAGTTATAATTGATTCAGATTTCAATAAATTGGGAATATTTTAGTTAATCTTTGCATTTGAGCAGAAATTAATAACAAACTTGGTATTGATACTCATCATAGTATCTGTGAAGTTTTTCCAGGGCGAACACTTAGGTATGTAGAATATCCGGCCTGGAAAAAATCATTTCTGCGCCTCTGATTATTAAATTTATCTTTACAGAAAAAACCTTCAGCACCAAATGCACACCTTTTCTAGCCGTGTACAATATTATCTTGTAAATGCTTCTCTTACCTGGCATGGTATTCTGTGGCTGGTTTAAGGTCTGTCAGTTCAAACTGCGTCTCAGTATCACTAAGGAAGCAAATAAAATATAAACAAACACATTAGAGCAAAACTATTGTTCTGAGTAAACTTTTCATTAACTTTGAAAAACACAAACTATATTAAATGTTAGTTTTTTTTATAGCACATTTTGCCAACAAGTGCTAAGCCCATCACATATTTTTTGAGGAAGCTGAATGAATTATGAAACATTCAATTACATAATATTAAATAAAAGTGCCACGTAGATTTAACTAATCCCTGCTCCCAATCGCTAACTAAATATTATTTACTGACAATAAAATTTGAACATCATTATTCACAATTGATGATAACGATGATGAAAAAAACCCAAAAAACTAAGATACTGATGATGTTAACAGATGTAATTTCCAAAGGTAATAGCAATTATTGTAAATAAAATCCATTGACAAAATTATCAAACAACAACAATCATCTATGCCAAGGCCAAAATTGAGATAATGGGTTAAAAAGATACTTAACAATAAATACATTGACCACATGTGTATATTATATTGCACTCATCTCCCTAATGACATACACAGCTTCGACGGGCCTCAATTGTTCGGATTTTTTTTTTAAATTCCCATAAGCGAGTGGTTGAAACATCACATTGTGTTTAATTCATACGATTGACTCATAAAACCAACTAAGCGATGTACAGATATTAGGACATATAAACAGGTAAATTATACAAGAGGTTGTCTTCTAAGATATCAGTTTAAAGTAGAACGCTTAAGTATTCGTGTTACATAATTGCATGGTAGATGATGTATACACATAAATGTAGATTAAAGTATGTTACAACTCGGCCAATAATACTAGATAGTTCAGGGATGTTAACATTTAAAAAGCTGGCTAATCAGTTTCAAAGTACAATGCTCAGTGGTTGCGGTTACATAATTGTGTGGCAGAAACAAACATGTGACACTCCTAAATATGGTCATGATGACATCACACCAAGACCATATATAGGCACATCATGACTATATATGGGCATACAAGTCTAAGATAATTTAAGATTAACACACACATTAGGATTCTGCCAATCACACAATGGTTTCTTCAGGACTTGTACATTTCTAAAAAATGCTGGCTAGCCAAATAATGATATAATTATGGAATACTGTAACTTTAACTAAAGCACTTGAGTAGTGTAATCTTTAGGGAATCAGAGGCTAGCTATCATCCATCCATCTCTCGAGGCATCTAATGGTACAGCTATCATAGATCAATCATCCATCCTCATGCTTCGCATAATAACCTTTCATACATATGTTAACATCTTGCTAGAGTAATATTATGCTTTGCATACCTACTTATGTTTTTGTGTTTGTTTTTGATTTCTAGTTTTCAATTGCTATAGCCATAAAAGAAAAACATTGACTTCTAAATTAATTTCTGTTCATTTCTTTAGGTGATAACACTTGCGAATAACATGATGGAAATAGATTAAATATTAAATTAATACTCAGGGTTAAATTAGGTAACATTTAGAGGCAGGCTAAGAAAACTAGGGATATTAATATCCCAATCTACCCAGCTTTTTTCAAAAATTTTAAATGGAAATAAAAATAATAATACATACCTGTCAAAAATACTTGGTTGTCTTCCTTGTGTTGACACCGTAACTTCGTATTTGATTTTTGATCGTTCCATATTAGGAGACGACTCATCGTTGCTGGGCTGGAAGTTCCAACCAAGGTGCGCTGACCGCGCCAGTATTTCAGTTACTTCAGGACTTTCAATGCATGAGAGAACTTCACGTTTTCTTCGAATATTTGGGTCTTCTGTAAGAGAAGAATTAATTAATTCAAGATTAAATATTATTATATTATTCTCATGTTACTGTTTATTGTCATAACTAATTAATACACTTTGTTCTTTCTTGTAAACATTCTTATTTTCCAATTATTTTTTTTATGAACAGAAATTACATTGCATGTACATAAAATCAGAACACAGAGCCTCATATATAAACCAGTAGTGCTCCTTTCCATAAATTCTTTTATTGCAACATTTACATTCAACACCTTTTCTTGGGTTAATACTCAATCACTCTCTTTATTAAGATTCCATGTTCCACTCTCCCAACCTCAAATCCTTTATAAATCCTAGCCAACTTAGTATATAAATTTATTTATTAAATTTCCTTTATTTGTTTTGTATTCACTTGTTTACATTATTGGCTGAATAAAGAATGAATCCTATAGCTTTGTACATTTCCAACTTCAAAATCCTGTTCATTCTCAAATCCTCCCATGTATTAATACTATTCATAAAACCTTTCCTTTTCTTCAAACCAATCAGTTAACTTGTACAGTAAGTTTCCATCACCTACAGATTTACCCAGCCCCAAAATTGTCCCCTATTCAGAACCTCTTTTAAGCCCCCATGCGTTGAGGTGAAGTCTCTGTCTGAAACCTATCAGAAGTAACTTGCACAATCCACAAGTAACTTTCCAACATCTACAGATTTACTCAATCGTCAAATTGTCCCCCTATTCAGAACCCCTTTTTAAGCCCCCATACGTTGAGGTAACAGTCTGTGTCTGAAACCTATCAAAAGCTTTCATCAGGTATTTCAGAAGTAGCTGCAGTTGAGTCACCAATATGTGTTAAGTTCAGATAAGGAATCCAAGATTTCAAGTAAAATATGTTAACAACACTCAAATTTAGGATCAAGCCATAGCAATAGTAATAATCATAATAACAGGATTATAATGTGATTTAAACAATGTAATCAACACACATAATCGCTATTGCCAGGTACTGAGTCACAGTTATAAATAGAAGGGTGGCTGTAGTATTTTTACACCTTTAGTATACTCCTGAGGATTAATAACCTCTCATAGACTTGTAAGCACTCCACTCATCATTAATTATTATAATATAATGTTAATGAATATTTAGGAAGTAGATTATTAATGGAAATAGCATGGAAAAATGGCGGGATGTCTACAGCATAAAAGAGTATTTGATGTTATTCAATTTATTTCTTTGTACATATTTAGTTGTGTCTGACTGTTTTCCCAAAGGCCAAATTCTGCAGAAAACATGAATATAAATGATATAAGATTAAACAGATAAAAACACATAAATAATGAAAAACATTTATTTATGATTTCATCCACCTATTATAAATCCATTTATTTCTTGTTTATATCTTGGATTGCTAACCTTCCTTACACTCATTTTACTTATCATCATAAAACAAATTTTTACTATCTATAGTATTTACACACTATTGTGATGACAAAAGGATCATGTATGCTGTAACAATAACATACAAATAATGAAAATGAAAACTCATGATAAAGAGAAAATGTTTAAGAGTGAAAAATTCTGATAATTATAAATAATTTTAAATAAATAAAAATAAAGTTATTTTAATTAGGGAAAAATAAAATGTAATTTCAATGCTTGAATGCGTAATTATTAAATTATTGACAGATTAACGACTATAAACAAACTATGGATTCCAATACATTTAAACTTTATAGCTTTACAATCAATGGCCATCAATCAATGCTAATAATAAAATAGGAATTCATGAAGTGCCTTTTACCTAAGGATACATGGTGATGAAAAATGGGCCAAAAAACATTTAAAAAAAAAAAACCGAACAATACAACAAGGAATAAAAAAAGCATGATGATTAACTTCGCCAGAGGGGAAAAGGTGCATTTGAATGTGGTTTTTACAGTACAGTAAAACGTCCATTTTACGTACCCCTTGGTACCAAGGGGCGTTCATAAATTGACAAATTTGTAAACTAGATCAGGTGTCAGTTTCCAATACCTGGGCCTAACTATCCCCTACCATTGAGCGCCGATAGGCTGACGACGGCCAAGCCTAGCACGAATCAACAGTGCAGTAGCGTGGTCTACCACGCTAAAGCCCAGCTGAATTTACCTTTGATAAAGACCAAATTATTTTAACTACCGGTATTAATAAATAGACAAAAAAAAACATGATTTTATTAAGAGTAATATACATTATCACTTCCTAAAACATGCGCAATCAGACTTTTCCAAAGGCAATAATTGGTCGATGATGATGTCATCAGGGGCAAAGACCATTTGTAAAATTGACTATTCGTAAAATCGACATTCGTAAAAATGGACGCTTTACTGTATTGTGGAACTTTTTTTTATAAAAAGGGAAGGGCATTAAAGGAAGTAGTCAGTAGAAAAAAATGGATAGCAGATAACTACTGAACTTCCAAGAAATATCTTAGTTCATGGTATGCAGTTGAGACATCTTAATGTTGTTCATTCATATTAGGCCTACTATCAATCAAGCATATTGTTTAATAATTCATCTAAAATTATAATGGACTCAGTAAACATGAATATACTGTCAAAATTATAATGTTGATAATCATTATTATAACATCATTGCATGAAATAACATTACTCTATATATGAAAAATTTACTTAAATTGCAACAGCCCAATACTATTCAAATTACCACCGATGCAATGAATAATCAATACAATTATAGAATATTCATAAAAATAACTATAATAGTTCTAAGAATGACCTTCACTGGTATGCAATTACAAATTTAATCCAACTCCAGACCTGTCTATTTAGCTTCTTCAATTAAGCCTACAGCATTGCTTAACTTGCTTGGGAATTCCTTGTCAAGCTGGGAAGGCCTGTCGTACGTTTCCTGTGTGACGACTCACAAACCCAGTACGATTTGGCCAGGGACCAGTGGGTGACCGCATCCTCCACATGATTCCACCGGGAGGTTAATAACAGTGGTTGTGTTCATAATAATAATCGATGTGAGCTTAAGTGCTGGCCCGTGTAATTCTTGGTCGTTGACCTGTTTCATTTTGTTTTATTAATATTTACCATATTTTAATTACCTCATCTTACTGTGGTAATATTTATATAGGTATAATAAAATTTTAATCATCAAATTCATAGGAAGGACATCATTATTTCAATGTTATTTATATATCAAAAACATCTTAGAGTTCAGTAAAACATTACATGCAAGTTAAGCATGGGACGGATGGAATATAACAAGCTGTTGAATGCAACAAAATTATAAATATTTCGATTAATTATATAATATAATGTATTAAACTAAAATAAGGTTCATCGTGATAATACTTACATTATTTTATATTATTTCAAGTATAATAAAATGGTTTTTTTTTTTAACTTATGAAATGCCCTTTCAAATGGGCTAGCTAGTAAACACATCACACATTTTTTTTTATAAGAACCAGTAAAATTTTGCCCAGGCTGAGTGTTCTTATTTTTTGGCCCAATTCAAGCTCAAAATGTTCTTATTTTGTTCTTATTTTTACACACCTTTCAAACTTATTATTGTACAGGCTTAATATATTACTGTACTGTATTATTATAGAGGACATATTACATAGTCACACCTACTACATATTAAGGTACAGATAACATTTGTTGCATTTTTTTAGTTTTTTTGAAATAAAAATATCAATTTGTTCTTAATTTTTAAGCAATTTCAGCCTCAGTGTGTTCTTACAAAAAAAAAGTGTAGACTACTAATAAACCACAGTTGGGCAATTGTACATCATAGTGCTGCATGTTAACATCACAATTGGCTAGTTGGGCATGTAAACATCATGGTGGGCTAGTAAGCAAACACCACAGTTGGCTAGGTTGGCAAGTGAAAATCATACTAACAATAATCATAAATTTTGGACTGATCCACTATCAGTTGTCTATCATTAATGAATATTCATTTTTCTAGTGAGGCTGTATGTAAACAATATTAAGCTTGGTATTGAAATGGAAATTCAATGGAAAGGAAAAAATGGATTGGCCATTATTACATTATGCTAATATTCCTTTTATAAGATTAATACATGAGAACCGGTTGCAAATAAATAATTCAGCTGGTCCATTCAAAAGGGTGTGTCCGTCCACTGTTCATATTTCAGGGACTGACGTCATTTTTTGATAACGTTAACCAGTCAGGTTAATTATCTAAAAGTGCATACTGCAGCCTGTCCATATGGCATAAGCGACCGGTATTAAATTTTCTTTATTTGTCATATAATAAATACATTATAATTGTCTAACTGGGATAATTATACAAAATAAATTTAAATATAAATATAGTTTAACATATTTGTGCAGTAGTTACAACACATTAGCTGTATCCAAAGATTAACCATAATTAGATACTGTATCTCAGATATTTAAAATTAGGAATACATTTAAAATTAGGCATGCTCATTTAAAATTATACAATTGTACAGTATATAAAATAAGACAAGCCCATTAGAATAATTCTGTACACACCCAATTAAAATGACTGTAGACACAGTGAAATATATTAAAAACCGATATTCCCTTTTTTGGAAAAATTTAATTTTCAAAGAAAAGATGCATATAATTTAGAGACAAGTATATTTGTAAAACCAGATTTGCCTATCCTTAGATTTGAATGAGACTAATTAGATCTGAATTTCATATATAGTAGCTATCAAAAGTCAGACACGCCCATAAAGTTCAGATGTCCTGTGTATTTAAGTTTGTATGCATTGATCAATCAATACTGAATCTATTACTATACATTTGCCATCTATACATAAAATTAAAATATTACGACACCAAAAAAATACATAATACATAATACATGATACAGAAGAAATAAAAAAAAAAATTCACAAATTCAATTGGATATCTTTAAACCATTGGAAATAGCATTTGTATGAATCAACGAAGCTGACTTGCACGCTTTTCAAAAACGAGAACGTTATGAATAACTTAATCTCCACATTTAAT